GAATGGTCTCCCAGGAGCTGTTAGAGTGGCTTGGTTGGCAGGCTGGGTCCTTTCCACTCACCAGCTGGTGGAACAGCAGTTAAAGATGGTGGAAGGACCTCTCAGGGGCTGCTAGAGAGCACCTATTTGGCAGGTTGGCTCCCTTCTCCTCTCTGGCTAGTGGAATAACAGTTAAAAATGGCGGAAGGGCTCTTCAGGGGCCATTGGAGAGGTCCTGGTTGGTGGGCTGGCTCCCTCCCGCCAGTTAAAGATCACAAATGGCAGTTAGAGATCACAGAATGGCCTTTCAGAAGCTGCTGGAGAGTGCCTGTAAAGCCCAAAGTAGTTCAGTTCATCTTGGAGGAAGTGGGGTTCGCAGATTCTTTTTGCACCGTCTGCCAGGGCTTTAATGGTGCTACTTTTTTTGACTTGGGTGATAGTTGGGAGTTTTTATGTAAGGATCTATCCGTGTGTGTAGATTTTCTGTAAGCTGTGTGATCCAATTGTTGATTTGCTTTGCCGATGACTAGGACATCTATAAATGGCACATTGAAACACATTGAAAAATATCCTTTTGGGGTTGCATCTCACAGAATCCCCCAGCAAACTAAGCATATGGGACGTGTAGTCCAAAAAAGTAGTTTTGCCGTTGTCTGACCCTACAGTAGGTAAGCTGTTAGTGTCATTGAGGGAAGCGGAGGCCCCCGCCTTCAAGTTGGTCTGACCTGAAGCAGAGAGTTCCGCAGTTCCTGGAAGCCCTAATCGGGACAAAAACTGATGAAATGTGCCCCAACAGACAGCTCAAACAGGGACTGCACCAAGCCTCTATGCCTTTCTCTCACTTTCCCCCAAGCCCTAACTTTGTAACTATTCCCTTAATAAAGGTACTTGGAATTGTAACTTTTTAACTTTCTAGCCTGATACTTTGTGTCCTTCTTGCCTGAACCAACTAAATGCATGAATTCAACCTTTTCCAGGCCGCGGGGAACTGCGAGCCAGCCCGGAATGCCTTCCTGGCGTTCCGGGGACGCCGGATCCGCACCGCTTGAAACCGCGGATACGGAGTTTTTCCTTTCAGATCTCCGTATCCACAAAATGGCGGATCGGCTCCATTTTAATGTCTTACTTTTCTGTACTAAATTCTAACCCTATCTGCTATCTCGCTTTTCTTATTTTGGACCCCTACGCTCGAAAAATAACCTCTTAAGTTTTGAGAATATATTTTATTAGAAACAGCTGATTGTCAAATATGCCGGTTCCATTGCTGCTGCCTCATTGCTCCTCACTGCCTCTCGCCTCTGCCAAGCTCTGGACCTGGGGACTTGATGCGGTTCCCCCATGGGACCTCGGGGAAGAGCCTGATCAGGGGACCCCGGACCTTGGGAGGATATTCTAGTTCCCCAAGGACCGAAGATTGGATCGACGGCGGCACTGCTGGGGTTTCATCTGCCAGCCTTCCCAAAGATCATGAACTATCTGCCTGCATGTCTTGGACTTCAGTAATTACTATCCCCCTCATGAACTCTCCTCAGAGACCTTTTAAAACATTGGAATTCAAGTTTCTTCATGAAATTAAATCTTTTATTAGAATGTACTTGGGATATGGGACAAGGATGGGGTTTATTGCTATGAAATGTTTATGATTCGAATGTATGTATATCTTTTTATGAATTATGCTTTGCCCGAATCTTGGCCCCTTACCCAACCTTAGAGCGACGGCCAGGAAGCAACCAGCTGCCCGAGGGGGGCTGTTGCCCTCACAAAACAAACATTACACAAACTCTTGCATGGACAATAGCAAAGGAAGTTCCTATTGATTTTCAGAGTTAGACTGATTGATAGGCATCTCCTCCGGTCAAGTTTTGATTAATAGAAACAATACGGGCCAGACTGCCCACAGGGGGTCTTCTGCCCAGCTCCGTTTTTTCCTCACCCAAGACACATTACAAACACCTCTTATCAGATCAGGGACAGGAAAACTCTTCTTAAATCAATCAACTTCTCATTATCAAGACAATAACCCAATCCCCCAGCTGGCCGATTTCCCGGATGCAGGGACACGTAGGTTTCAAGAATGTCATAATCCTATTACTCTCCATTGTCCCTGGTCGTCCCGCCTCCTCTTCCCTGATTCGTCAATTCCCCAAAGCGGGGAAAGCATCCTGATATGCTCCCTTGAAGCAGGGAAGCCTCATGATTGGCCCCGGCCGGGGGCGGGCTGCCAAGCCTCCTCCCAGCTGCTCAGCCACCAGCCGATCACCATCAAGCCGGGCAGGGAAGGGAGGGCGGGAATTTTGAAATCTCTGTACATGTTTTTGCTATAGAAAGGCTTCCAAACTTTGTATTGGTATGCTTGCATGTGAGATATCACTGCAATTGCATCCGCTTCAGCTGAATTGTTCATTAAACCTTGGAGCCACTTCTTCGCCTAGGCAAAAGTCTCATTTCAATTTTTAATATTAATAAAACTGCTGGAATCAGGCTTCTCTAACGGCTCGCCAAGGTAGCGGACCCTCTTTGGTGCGGTCCTAGGGGTCTCTCTTACTGGGGAGACCCTCCTAAAGCCCGTATTGACTTCATTAGGAATTGTGAGAATTGAAGTCCAAACTTAGGCGAACCCTCGTTGTCCGAGTAGGATTGTCTTCCAAGATCGGTGTACTGGCGGTGGGTCTGTAGGTGACTGTGGAGTCCTATTCTTGATCTGCATCAGCCTCACGTCGATACCGGGCAAGATTCTGGAAAAGATTGTTAAGGAAGTGGTCTGCAAGCACTTAGAAACAAATGCGGTCATTGCTAATAGTCAACATGGATTTATCAAAAACAAGTCATGCCAGACTAATCTGATCTCTTTTTTCAATAGAGTTACAAGCTGGGTAGATGCAGGGAATGCCGTGGACGTAGCGTACCTGGATTTCAATAAGGCCTTCGACAAGGTCCCCCATGACCTTCTGGCAAGGAAACTAGTCCAATGTGGGCTAGGCAAATCTACGGTGAGGTGGATCTGTAATTGGTTAAATGGACAAACCCAGAGGGTGCTCACCAATGCTTCCTCTTCATCTTGGAAAGAAGTGACGAGTGAGTGCCGCAGGGTTCCGTCCTGGGCCCGGTCCTGTTCAACATCTTTATTAATGACTTAGATGAAGGGCTAGAAGGCAGGATCATCAAGTTTGCAGACGACAACAAATTGGGAGGGATAGCCAATACTCAAGAGGACAGGAGCAGGATTCAAAACAATCTTGACAGATTAGAGAGATGGGCCAAAACTAACAAAATGAAGTTCAACAGTGACAAATGCAAGATACTCCACTTTGGCAGGAAAAATGAAATGCAAAGATACAGAATGGGTGACGCCTGGCTCGAGAGCAGTACGTGTGAAAAAGATCTTGGAGTCCTCGTGGACAACAAGTTAAACACGAGCCAACAATGTGATGTGGCGGCAAAAAAGCCAATGGGATTTTGGCCTGCATCAATAGGAGCATAGTGTCTAGATCTAAGGAAGTAATGCTACCCCTCTATTCTGCTTTGGTTAGACCACACCTGGAATATTGTGTCCAATTCTGGGCACCACAATTCAAGAGAGATATTGACAAGCTGGAATGTGTCCAGAGGAGGGCGACTAAAATGATCAAGGGTCTGGAGAACAAGCCCTATGAGGAGCGGCTTAGGGAACTGGGCCATGTTTAGCCTGAAGAAGAGAAGGCTGAGAGGAGATATGATAGCCATGTATAAATATGTGAGAGGAAGCCACAGGGAGGAGGGAGCAAGCTTGTTTTCTGCTTCCTTGGAGACTAGGACGCGGAACAATGGCTTCAAACTACAAGAGAGGAATTCCTTCTGAACATGAGGAAGAACTTCCTGACTGTGAGAGCTGTTCAGCAGTGGAACTCTCTGCCCGGAGTGTGGTGGAGGCTCCTTCTTTGGAGGCTTTTAAACAGAGGCTGGATGGCCATCTGTCAGGGGTGATTTGAATGCAACATTCCTGCTTCTTGGCAGGGGGTTGGACTGGATGGCCCATGAGGTCTCTTCCAACTCTTTGATTCTATGACTGTGGAGTCCTATTCTTGATCTGCATCTTCTCCCATAGTGAGGACATTGGTTTCCAGGTGGAAGGTGGTCCCGGTCGAGGTTGGCTTGACACGCCATCCTCTTGGCATGTTTCTCTCTTTCGCCCTCCATTAGTGCCTTTTCAAATTCTGCAGCACTGCTGGTCACAGCTGACCTCCAGCTGGAGTGCTCAAGGGCCAGGGCTTCCCAGTTCTCAGTGTCTATGCCAGAGATTTTAAAGTTGGCTTTGAGCCCATCTTTAAATCTCTTTTCCTGCCCACCAAAACACCTAAACACTTGGAGGACCCAAGTTGGCCCATGCTTGCCCTACAGTCTCACTGGAGAGCCTTTACTCATAGAGGCCCAATGGGCCTGTATGCTTTAAAGGAGCTGGAATTGATCAGAAATCCAGGCCAAGGCAGGAAATGGCCTTTCCCCTCCTTCGACTATTTGCTATCATGGAAAGGAGTCCAGCTCAGTATTGCTCCCAATTCGACTGAAAACAACCCCTTTGTGTTACTATTGGGCCACCGTCGCGTCAATCAAGCTTAGTCCCGCCCCAATCTGAGTCCATGTAGACCAATCAGGCGACTGCTTTCGTCTCTTTCGAGGATAGTCCCGCCCCCGACATCCCTTGTTCCGTGGCGTATGAGAGGCTTACGATCCAATCAATCAAGCCGCGCCTCTTCTATTCCCGCCCCCTTTTTCCTTTAGTCACATGACATCATATTTTGCTCTCTGGACGACGAAGGCAGGCCGCTGAGACTCCCCAGCCAATGACAAAGCAGCGAGTCAACCCACGCAGCCAATGAGAAAAGTTTCATGCTCCCCACACCGCGCCGTGGGCGGGACTCCCTCGAACGTGCACAATCCGCGTCGCCAGAGGCCACAATTGACCGAGGCGTCACCCAATGAGATGTCGGCACGGCGTGACGGACGGCCGAGGGGATCAATCGGCGAAGAGCGGGCGTTTCCAACAACACCCGCCCCCCTCCTTTAGTTTAAGTGAGGGCGGAAGATGGCGGCGGCTGCAGCGGCTGGGACGGGACCGGGGGTTCCGGACGGGGAGCAGGAGGGGTCAAACCGTGACCGGAGCGCGTTTGAATGCAATATCTGCCTGGAACCTGCGAGGGAAGCAGTGATTGGGCTCTGTGGCCACCTGTACTGGTGAGAGGGGCGTGGCTGGGGGGAGATGAGGGCCAGGATCACTGTAAATAACAATACTGACACCCCCTTCATTTTGAGCAGGTGGAGTATCCTTTTATCACAGTGATTCCCAACAGCAGGGGGGGGTTGAACTTCAATTCCCAGAAGCCTCTGCTTCTGTGGCCAATGGGGAGGGCTTCTGGGAAATGAAGTCCAAAACACCTGAAGGCTCAGGGAATCACTGCTTTGTGGCTGTTACCATATTAAATGCATAATTGAAGGGTTTCATATGGGGACAGTTTCATCCAAGATTCCATGTGTTTCCTCCACCACAGACATCCCAGTGTTTCTTACTCTCTCCATTGGTGTGGAATTTGCTTGACCCCGCCCACTGCCTCTCCCTTAACCCTTTCCTATTTATTTATTTACTTTATTTCTATACCGCTTTTCTCAGCCCTTAGGCAACTCAAAGAGGTTTACATAGTAAACAAGTAAAGTAAATAAATAAATAAAATAGTACTCCGGGGCAGAGAGTTCCACCGCTGAACGGCTCTCACAGTCAGGAAGTTCTTCCTCATGTTCAGATGGAATCTCCTCTCTTGTAGTTTGAAGCCATTGTTCCATTGCGTCCTAGTCTCCAGGGAAGCAGAAAACAAGCTTGCTCCCTCCTCCCTGTGGCTTCCTCTCACATATTTATACATGGCTATCATATCTCCTCTCAGCCTTCTCTTCTTCAGGCTAAACATGCCAAGCTCCTTAAGCCGCTCCTCATAGGGCTTGCTCTCCAGACCCTTGATCATTTTAGTCGCCCTCCTCTGGACACATTCCAGCTTGTCAATATCTCTCTTGAATTGTGGTGCCCAGAATTGGACACAATATTCCAGGTATGGTCTAACCAAAGTAGAACAGAGGGGTAGCATTACTTCACCACCCCCAGCTCCTTCAAGGTCAATCCAGTCACTTCAAGGATACCATCCATCGATCTTGCCCTTGGTCGGCCCCTCTTCCTTTTTCCTTCCATTTTCCCTAGCATCATTGTCTTCTCTAAGCTTTCCTTTCTTCTCATTGTGTGGCCAAAGTACTTCTTCTTGGCCTCTACTATCCTTCCCTCCAATGAGCAGTCGGGCTTTATTTCTTTAAGTACGGACTGGTTGGATCTTCTCGCAGTCCAAGGCACTCTCAGAACTTTCCTCCAACACCACAGTTCAAAAGCATCTATCTCCCCTTGCTCATCCTTCCCTATGGTCCAGCTCTCACATCCGTAGGTGACTATGGGGAATACCATGGCTTTAACTCTGCGGATCTTCGTCGCCAGTGTTTTATCAAGATTGGTCATTGCTCTCCTCCCAAGAAGTAAGCGTCTCCTGATTTCCTGCCTGCAGTCTGCCTCTGCAGTAATCTTTGCACCTAGAAATACAAAGGCTGTCACTGCCTCCATGTTTTCTTCCTCTATTTCCCATCCATACTTCAGGAAATAAAGCCTGACTGCTTATTGGAGGGAAGGATTGTAGAGGCCAAGATGAAGTACTTTGGCCACATCATGAGAAGAAAGGAAAGCTTAGAGAAGTTAATGATGCTGGGGAAAATGGAAGGAAAAAGGAAGAGGGGCCGACCAAGGGCAAGATGGATGGATGGCATCCTTGAAGTGACTGGATTGACCTTGAAGGATCTGGGGGTGGTGACGGCCAACAGGGAGCTCTGGTGTGGGCTGGTCCATGAGGTCACGAAGTATCGGAAATGACTGAACGAATGAACAACAACAATTCTTTCTATGGCACACAGCAATCAGAGGAATTGATCAGCAACTGAACATACTAGAGAGGTTTGAGGAGGATTCACCATGATTTATAGGGGTTGGGTACCGTGATTTATAGTTGACCTGCAATCTAAGAGCACTCTGAACTCCAATTTACTTGTCTGAACACATCTACCTTTACGAACCATTACAAAGACTAAGATCTTCTGGGGAGGCCCTGCTTTCGTCCCCGCCAAATGCACCTGTAGCTGTGCTCTCGTCACAGGTGCGTTTGGCAGGGACAAGAGAACAGGGCCTTCTCAGTGATTGCCCCTGGCTATGGAACTCCCTTCCTGTCCTTCATAAGGATGGTGAAGACCTGCCTATGGGACCAAGCCTTTGGGGCAGTGCAATGAGTCAGTAATAAAATGGTGTCCTGAGATGGTTCTTAAGCAACTTTTAATGTGAATATAAGTGTTTTTAAAGTTTGTATATATTTATGGTTTTGTGTCCCGGCATTTAATGTTTGCCATATATATGTAGTGCTCCTCCCTGAGTCCCCTGCGGGGTGAGAAGGGCAGAATATAAATGTTTCAAATAAATAAATATTAGAATAAAAGGATTTTAAAGAAACCCTTTCATATTAAATGTAAATAACTATCAGAACAATTTGAAAGAATATGCCTAAATGTTATTCTTGGTACCAGCCATTGTTGACCAATAACATGCCAATTGGGATCACAATTTTACAAAATGTCATAGCATCATAAATTGTGTATTTATTTTTATTTTTTATTCTGCCAGTTTTTTTATCCAACCCATTCTCAATCCCTTTTATTTTACACCCAGCCATCGCTTAAATAAGAAATTACATATTGAAGTTTAACATGTTTCTCCCATCCAAATAAACTCTCATACATTTCATGTGGGCTTTGTCATAGGATCATAGATTCAGAGTTGGAAGAGACCACATGGGCCATCTAGTCCAACTTCCTACCATGCAGGGAAAGCACAATTGGTTGAAGTCCAAAACACCTGTAGGGCTGAAGTTTGCCCATGCCTGGCCTATACAGTTGTCCCTCCTTATTTGTGAATTTGGCTTTGATGGATTTGAGTAAACATTTTCTCTCATAGTCCTCCAGTGTGACTCTGTTGTCAGTGTTCCCCATTCACTCTGAAAGATCTAGAGAGAACATCTTTATAGGACTCTAAAGCAATTATATGCTCAGCTGCCAGCACAGTTTGGCCGTAGAGGGCCTAAAGATTCCTAGAGACATGTTCTCTCTATTTATTGTTTTTCATATTCATATTGGGGGGGGGGGGATGTGGAGAACTGAATGTACACACATACCTTTTAATTTAATTTCCTAGCTTTATTATTATTATATTTATTTATATCCTGCTTTATCTCCCCAAAGGGGACTCAAAGCAGTTTGACATAAAAGCATACAATTTAAAATATACACATATTTAAACAGTATTAAACATCATTAGCATTAAAAATAATTCAGATTAAATCCATAAAAACATATAAAACCACAGCAGCCCGCCTCCCCATTTTTCTTAGCTGGTCCAGACTCTCTCCATCTATCCCCTCCTTGCAAAAATATCCAGCAGTGGTGCCTAACAGCAGGGCTCCTTAAACTTTTCCACTCACAACCCCTTTCCACTCTTACACAGATAAATTTTTATGTGACCCCAAGTATACTAGCCTAGCTATCTGGTGATGCCCAAGTTATTCCTTTTGTAGGTTGTTTACAAGGAATAGTCATTGTTTCCATGAATGCTTTGATTAGAAAAGAAATAAGGATGTGGGTGAACTACATTTCCCATAATTTAATGTCAATTCCACTCCAATCCCTACTAATATTCAAAGTTGCCTATGTTGGGTGGGTGTGTTAAGTTTGGCCCAGATTCACCATCATTTGGGTTCCTGGTGCTCTTTTGATGTGGGTGAACTATAACTCCCAACATCCAAGGTCAGTTCTGTTGAAACTCCACAAGTACTTAAAGCTGATTATGTTGGGTATGTGTGCCGGATTTTGTTGAGATCTGTTGTTTGTGGGAGTCACAGAGCTCCCTGGATATGGGGTGAACTATAATTTCCAAAATCCAGGGTCACCCCCCCCCCTTTTAAAAACCCTCCAGTCTTTTCTGGTCTTGGGGGGGACGTTACAGTCTGTGTGCCAAATTTGGTCCAGATTCGTCATTGGTGGGACTAGAAGAGCGCTCTGAACGTGGGAGTCATCTCTGAAATTAAACATTTACTGATAATAAATCAGCAATTACAAGGCTTGCTAAACAATCTGATTTTTTTTTTATGAAGTGCGTCTTATGCAGAGTCCACTAAAAATGCATCCCACTGTTGACAACGGCCACTTGGGCCAGAGTAAAGAGTTCCATCTTGTCTCCTGTGACATCAGAGCCCCTCCCCCAGCAACAATATAATATTATATAATACTAATATTATGAATGATGTATTAGTACTATGCTAATAATATAGTATGTTGTATGTACATATGACTTGTAGGCTGCTCTGAGTCCCCTTCGGGGTGAGAAGGGCGGCATATAAATGTCACAAATAAGTAAATAATAAAAAAAAACACTGTAGAGAGATTGATGTAAATACATATAACAGCCACTAGGTGACATTCAGAAACCTTTTATTGTGGCCAGATTTTTGTTTTTGTTTTGTTTTGTTTTTTTTTTGGAATCCAACATTGATCTAAGTGACCTTAGTGCAAGCCTTTGAAGGCAACTATGTGGTCACGTTCACCAAGAAGTCCCACTCACATACACATAAATGCAGCAATCAAGGAAAGGAGTGCAATGAAACATACTAGCATTGAGGCCAGGCAAAACCACCTAATTGCCTTTGAAAACCCTATGAAATTCCTGGAACCAGTATAATTTGATGGATAACTTGAAGGCATTTTTGCTCACATATGAAAAAACAGTGCTTCTGGGATTATCTGATGTTAGTGTGTAGAAATTATTGTTTTCCAAGGAACCAATGATCGGCACGAATAGTGTGTTCTTTTATTTGCAAGTTTTTCTTTCCTTTTTGGAAACTTCCTGGCTATAGGTGACTTGAAGGTGCATATAGAGTCAGGTCCCTTGGAGGCAGGACTAAAGCCTCAACACAAAATTCACTTAAGTTTAATATAAACACATAGCCAGAAGATAATTTATACACCATGTAATAGTTTGCATATATCATGCCATCAGAACACAGAGTTATTACTATGTAATAGCTATTCTGAGTCCCCTTTGGTGTTGAGAAGGGCGGGATATAAATATGGCAAATAAATAAATGAATAAATAAATTCATGTGGACGGTGTGGGATTTTGGAGTAGTTTGGATTTCCATATAGCGCAGTGGTTCTCAACCTGTGGGTCCCCAGGTATTTTGGCCTACAACTCCCAGAAATCCCAGCCAGTTTACCAGCTGTTAGGATTTCTGGGAGTTGAAGGCCAAAACATCTGGGGACCCACAGGTTGAGAACCATTGGCCTAGACCCAAACAAATGTGAAGGGCTACATATACAGTACTTTTCATTCTTCCTGCTAAGCCACACTTCTGGTTTGGCAAAAGCTGGCATTAAGCCACATCACTTCAAGAGGTACTTGTTGCCTTGGCATGTGCTCTAAGCCTTTATCATTCCACTCTGTGGTTTAGAGTTTGGCACTCATTTCTTATACCCTGCCCTATCTCTCCATCCTCTCAGATGTATTTGCGCTCCTTGATCCTAACACTTGACAGCAAGAAGTGCTTGTCTTTTTCATTCACTTTAGTGAAAGAGGGAGTACAATTAGGGGACCCACAGATTGTGAACTACTGATATAGCGGATGCTCAACCTGTACAATTTTTAAAGGGACCAGAGGTCTCTAGTTTTCACTCTTGAGAGTCCAAACTCCACCTGCTTTCACTTGAAGGGTTTCTTTAAAAATTATAGGTACATCACCCAGTTTAGTTTATCTAATTTGAAGTTGTATCTTTTAGCTGATACTTTATATGGGTTAGATTTATTTATTTGTTTGTCGTGTCAGAACAACCAGTCAAATTATATTACATTTCTAACAGAACAAAGCAAACAAGCAGATTACAAAATTTGTGAGTATGAGAGTTGATTAAATGTCCTTTGACCAGTATCTGGCCACTTGGAGTGCTTCTGGTGTTGCTGCAAGAAGTTCCTCCATTGTGCATGTGGCAGGGCTCAGGGTGCATTGCAGCAGGTGGTCAGTGGTTTGCTCCTCTCCACACTCGCATGTTGAGGATTCCACTTTGTAGCCCCATTTCTGAAGGTTGGCTCTGCATCTCGTGGTGCCAGAGCGCAGTCTGTTCAGTGCCTTCCAGGTCGCCCAGTCCTCTGTGTGCCCAGGAGGGAGTCTCTCATTTGGTATCAGCCATTGGTTGAGGTTCTGGGTTTGAGCCTGCCACTTTTGGACTCTCGCTTGCTGAGGTGTTCCACCTGCTTTCACTTGAAGGGTTTCTTTAAAAATTATAGGAACATCACCCAGTTTAGTTTATCTCATTTGAAGTGGTATCTTTTAGCTGATGTTTTATATGGGTTAGATAACCACAGTAAAAGACAACAGCAATGTGGTGTAGTAGTATTGGACCTAGAATTGTTGTTGTTTATTCATTCAGTCGCCTCCGACTCCTCATGACCTCATGGACCAGCCCATGCCAGAGCTCCCTGTAGGCTGTCACCACCCCCAACTCCTTCAGGGTCAAGCCAATCACTTCAAGGATGCCATCCATCCATCTTGCCCTTGGTCGGCCCCTTTTCCTTTTTCCTTCTATTTTCCCCAGCATAATTGTCTTCTCTAGGCTTTGCTGTCTCCTCATTATGTGGCCAAAGTACTTCAACTTTGTCCCTAATATCCTTCCCTCCAATGAGCAGCCAGGCTTTATTTCCTGGAGGATGGACTGGTTGGATCTTCTCGCAGTCCAAGGCACTCTCAGAACTTTCCTCCAACACCACAGCTCAAAAGCATCGATCTTTCTTTGCTCATCCTTCCCTATGTTCCAGCTTTCACATCCGTAGGTGACTACGGGGAATACCATTACTTTAACTAAGCAAAGAATTAGGAATATGCATTATCCATGAATATCACTGTGACCTAGGAGCTGTTATAAAAGCTAATCCTCTTTAGGGAAGAAGCTAATGATGACCATCTCAATGTTGTTTGGACTACATCTCCTATTATCTTTGACCTTTGGTTATGATGGCTGGGGCTGATAAGAAATGGAACCCAACAACAACTGTAGAACTACAGGTCCTCCCGCATTTGCTTATTAGAGTATCTAGTCAAACTGAGGTCCTTAAGAATACAATTATCCCTCCACGTTTAGAGCTTTGATTTTTGTGGATATTATTATTCATGGATTTGATGAATAAGGTTCTCTCTCGAAATCTCTACGTCCTCCAGTGCAATCCTATGTTCAGCTTCTAGAGAAGGTTAAAAAAAGAGTCATATTGGAGGATCTAGGAAATCTTAGTGAGATGTTCTCTCAGGTACAAAAAAATACAAATGTGGTGGGTTTTTTTTTTCAGGCGATCCTGTGCCCCTAAACCAGTGTTTTTCTACCTTCCTAATGCCGCGACCCCTTAATACCCATACGTCATGTTGTGGTGGCCCCCAACCATAACATTATTTTTGTTGCTACTTTACAACTGTAGTTTTGCTACTGTTCTGAATTGTAATGTAAATATCTGATATGCAGGATGTATTTTCATTCACTGGATGAAATTTGGCACAAATACCCAATATGCCCAAATTTGAATACTGGTGGGGTTGGGAGGGGGGTGATTTTGTCATTTGGGAGTTGAAGTTGTTGGGATTTATAGTTCATCTACAATCAAAGTGCATTCTGAACTCCACCAACAATGGACCTGAACCAAACTTGGCACACAGAACTCCCATGACCAACAACAAACACTAGAAGGGTTTGGTGGGCATTGACCTTACGTTTTGGAGTTGTAGTTCACCTACATCCAGAGAGCACTGTGGACTCAACCAATGATGGACCTGGACCAAATTTGGCACGAATATTCAAGATACCCAAATGTGAACACTGGTGGAGTTTGGGGAAAATAGACTTGACATTTGGGAGTTGTAGTTGCTGGGATTTAAAGTTTACCTGCAGTTAAAGAGCATTCTGAACCCCACCAACGATAGAATTGGGCCATGCTTCCCACACAGAACCCCCAGGACCAACAGAAAATATGGTATTTGTGACCCCTCTGATACTCCCTCGCAACCCCCCCAGGGGTCCTGACCCCCAGGTTGAGAAACGCTGCCCTAAACTAAGTGAATGTAGAGGGTTGACTGTATATCTTTGTGTAAGATTATGATCAGCTTATCTTCTCTCCCTCATGCTGTATAATTTACCCTGATTTCTTTTAAGTAGCATCTCTTCCAAGCAACAAAGAATTAATGCTCTTCTCTCCCCCCCCCCCCTTTCTCTCTTTCTCCAGCTGGCCCTGCCTTCATCAGGTGAGTCTCTATTTGCATCATATTCTTTGGGACCTGGGACTTAGGGCTGGTTGGAGGAAAGCATAAGGTTTTATCAGGATTTGGTCATCGGTGTGGCTGAATAGATCTCCGGAAGATTGAGTCCTTTCAGTGGAGCCAGGCTTTTTACAAGGCTAGAGTTAGTAGTGTTCATGCTCACTTAGAAGATTTGATAAACAGCCCAATGGCTGCTCTACATTTCAGCTTTAAGTAATAGAGCTTTCGTCATTAGAATGAATGTGTCTTTATCAAACAGTTGTCCAAGGCTCAAGATCAGTTGAAAAGCATGAGAAAGAAGGAGAAAAGAAAACAACAGGGCATGTTTTGTCATAGAATCATAAAGTTGGAAGAGACCACGGGGACCATTCAGCCCAACCCACTTCTGGCAGGCAGGAAGTCAGTCAAAGCACTCCTGAGAGATGGCCCTCCGGCCTCTGCGTAGAAACCTCCAGAGAAGGAGACTCCAAGACAGCATATTCCCCTTCCAAACAGTTCTTACCACCGAGAGGTTCTTCGTAATGTTCAGGTGGAATCTTTTCCCCTGCAGTTTGAATCCATTGTTCCTTTGTGTCCTAGTCTCCAAAGCAGCAAAAAACAACCTTGTCTCCCCCTCAATGTGACATCCTTCCAAATACTTAAATGTAGATATCCTGTCCTCCCTCAAACTTCTTTTCTCCAAGCTAAACATCCCCAGTTCTTAATTCAGCCTCTATCTAAAAACAGGTGCCAAAGACTCACTACAGAAGGAGAGTGACTTTTCTTCTTCCTTGCTTTGGGCCTCTAGCTGCACATTAATTGGGAAGTTACTTTTCTTGCAATGCCAGAATACTCCAAGCAGAATAGTCATTGAGGAATTTGAGGTAACTTTCCGACCTCTAAGCTCATCATTGTTACAGGGAGAACCCTGTGCCTTGTTTACCTTTTGTATCACCTAATAATTTATTGCCTGCAGAAACATGTATGTGTCCTTAATTTAATTAAATATGATATGTATTTTAATTAGAATTTGATTTCAAGATGGGGCAAATCAATTAAATGATTCTACTATAAAGTGCCCAGAATTTAAGGGCAATGTTTGTTTATTTATTTATGGTATTTCTATCCCTCCTTTCTCAGCCTGAAGGCGACTCAAAGTGGCTTACAAATTGGCAGCAATTTGATGCCACAACAGTCATAAATACAATTAAAAACATTTAGAGAAAACATCATAAAAATCCATACAAAATACCCAACAAAACATATCATCGCCAATGTCTTAAGTTAATCTCATTTTCCAGTAGCATCATCTAAGCTGTTCCATGTTTGATTCTTTCATAGTTCCATATTTATCTGTTATGCTGCATTTCCAAAAGCTTGTTCAAAGAGCCAAGTTTTTACTTTTTTTGGAAAGTCAGGAGGGAGGGTGCCGATCTAATATCCCTACGGAGGGAGTTCCACAGCGGAGGGCCACCACTGAGAAGGTCCTGTCTCTTGTCCCTGCCAGACGCACCTGCATTATTGGTAGACTTGATTATTCATGGAGTTGATTAAAACCTTCCTTCTGGGAGCCTCTAGGTCAGTGGTTCTCAACCTGTGGGCCCCCAGATGTTTTGGCCTTCAACTCCCAGAAATTCTAACAGCTGGTAAACTGTCTGGGATTTCTGGGAATTGGGAATTGTAGGCCAAAACACCTGGGGACCCACAAGTTGAAAATCACTGCTTAAGTCTTCCAGTATGACTCCATAATCCTCTTCTGTTGACCATGGAGTCACAATGGAGGACCTAAAGATTCTTAGATTCAAGATTTTAATCAAATCCACAAATTGGCATTGATCATGGAGTCATGTTGGAGGACCTAGAGATTCCTAGGGGAAACATCTCTAGGTCTTCCAGAGCATTTAGGTGATCAGCTTCGGGTGGAGGTTGACTATAGAGCCATACTAGAGGACCTGGAGGTATTCTCGTTTTTAATGGGAGGTATTCTCTCCCTTTAAAAAATACCATTTTATTAATGTGGGGGCCCTTACACCCCAAATCCTAGCAAATGTGGAGGGTTGAATGTACATCTCTTTATTATTCCAGGATGTGTACATTTCTAAAAGCCGTCAAGTCTTGTTAGCAGTACATAGTATCCAGATTTCATTGTTTCCATTTGCACTAACATTGATAAAACTTAGCTACTAAACTTGCACAAGAATTTTTCTAGTTCAGATATGCAACACAGTTTCCCATTGTAGCCTTTTGGCGTCTCAGAACACCCTGATGATAGTCATATTCAACAATGCTTCTTATACTCCTCTCTCTCTTTTAAACCCAATTTGTTTGGCTTTTGTATAATCAACATAATTTCAGCATTTATTATTCTGAAAAGTCCTCCCTTTCCAAAATTGTACATTTCCTTAAAGTGGAAGTGTCAAGGAGCCCCCAGTGGCGCCGTGGGTTAAACCACTGAGCTACTAAACTTGTTGGCCGAAAGGTCACAGGTTCAAATCAAGGGAGTGCTGTGAGCTTCCGCTGTCAGCCCCAGCTTCTGGCAACCTAGCAGTTCGAAAACATGCAAATGTGAGTAGATCAATAGCTACCGCTCCAGTGGGAAGGTAATGGCGTTCCATGCAATCATGCTGGCCACATGATCTTGGAGGTGTCTGTGGACAACGCTGACTCTTCGGATTAGAAATATAGATGAGCACCACACCCCAGAGTCGGACACAACTGGACTTAATGTGAGACAAAAACCAGGGAATGTCAAAATGGGGTTACTTTGGGGAAAATGGTCTTTATGCATGGTCAGGCACTCAGTTATCCATTCTCCATATTTTCCTGGTTTTGTATTGAGAGCAGGCACTGGTATGGATTCTTGAAAGTAGTTTTGAGGTATTCTTGATTTGCACTTTTCACTGTCGCCTTATGGCAACAATGGGGAGCATTTGGCCTGAGATTATAACAAGGTTTATGTAAAGCAGAGCATGGGAAGTTTAAATACAGTTACTTTATGGCTGCTTTTGGAGAGGGAAGCTTGAAAATCAGGTCTTTTAAACGATAAAATTGGGGGTTTTCAGCCTAGCGGTGTGGCTTTAGTGATATTACATGTATTTTTGGGGCCATATTTTGCCCACTCCTCTGTGAAAGCTTAAAGATGGGTCCATCTGACTTTCCACCCATTTAAGTTCTCTATCTTTACCATATTTAGTAGCTCTTACCATGCCTGCTTAACCCAATATCCTCCTATATTTGTAATAGGAAAAGGGCAAGTCTCACCAAAAAAAATTCATTCCAGGAGTGACTTGAGAAACTGCAAGTTGCTTCTGGTGTGAGAGAATTGGCCATCTGTAAGGACGTTGCCCAGGGGATGCCCGCATGTTTAACCATCCTGTCGGAGGCTTCTCTCATGTCCCCACACGAGAAGCTGGAGCTGACAGATGGGAGCTCACCTCGCTCCCCGGATTCAAAACTCCAACCTTTCAGTCAGCCATCCTGCCGGCACAAGGGTTTAACCCACTGCGCAACCAAGGGCTCCTCTTTCTCCAAATGTTTTGAACAGAAACTCCCATCATCCCTTACCATAGCCAATGTAGCTAAGCTTATGAGAATTTACAGCTACCCCCCCCCCCCCGCTCCATAAGTTTGAATTTCATTCATCTATACTCTGAACTTACTTTTTAAAGGACTGGACAACAGTCAGATGCTCTCTGGATGTTTTGGCTTGCAGCCTTGCATCCCAGCTCAAGAAGTTTGGTAAAATATAACATACCATATACACTAGTGTATAACTTGAGAGCAGGTTTTAGGGCCAACATCATTGTCATAAACAGGGCTGCTGCTTGGGAGCAGAATCCAAACAATCTCACTGAAATAGATAAGATTGCCAATGCCAACAGTCCAGGGCCAGAAAAGCATACTTAGGTCCTTAGAAAACAGAGTTCACTCCAGGGTCAGAAGCACAAAGTTCAAATAAACAGAGATGCCAGAGCCAAAAGTCAGGTTACCAGAAGTCAAACCAGAAGTTCTTGAATGACAGATTGAGAAGCAGCAGAGTCAGGTCCAAGGATGAAAGCAAACAGTTGTTGGACTCAAACCAGGAAACAACAGTGTCATAGCAAAGGACTCACAATGCTGAGAGCTTTCGTTTCCTCTAAAGGAGTTTGCTCAGTCTGGTGAGACGTATTTGCTTCTGCTGAAGGCTTGTTTTCAATCACAGCGGAGCTAAGCATGGCAAGCTGCTGGGAGCTGCTGGTCTCCATCTCCTTCACTAGCCCTTTCTCGTCCTCGCTATCTGAGCTGGCTATGACAATTATGGATTTTGATATGGTTTATAGATAATTCAAGGGTTATTCAGTGGAGAGGGGAAGGCACTGCTACCTCCTCAGGTGGCCTGATGCACCTGGCAGCCATTGTCACCGATTCCTTGCTCAGACATTTGAAAAGACCAGAAGTGGCACTGTGAGTAGAGTAGGTCGGTGCTTCTTTTAGGTTCTCCTGGAATGGACCAAACTGTTGCCTTTTGCCATTCTACTCAGGGTCTTTCCACACAGCCATATAACCCAGAATATTTACACCTGGAATACTGCATCCAATTCTGGGCACCACAGTTGAAGGGAGATGTTGACAAGCTGGAATGTGTCCAGAGGAGGGCGACTAAAATGACCAAGGGTCTGGATAACAAACCCTATGAGGAGCGGCTTAAAGAGCTGGGCATGTTTAGCCTGCAGAAGAGAAGGCCAAGAGGAGACATGATGACCGCCATGTATAACTATGTGAGGGGAAGTTATAGGGAGGAGGGAGCAAGCTTGTTTTCTGCTGCCCTGGAGACAAGGATGTGGAACAATAGCTTCAAACTACAAAGAAGGAGATTCCACCTGAACATGAGGAAGAACTTAGTGACTGTGGGACTGTTCAGCATTGGAACTCTCTGCCTCAGAGTGTGGTGGAGACTCCTCCTCTGGAGGCTTTTAAGAAGAGGCTGGATGGCCATCTGTCAGGGGTGCTTTGGATGTGATTTTCCTGCTTCTTGGTGGGCTTGGACTTGATGGCCCACAAGGTCTCTTCCAACTCAATTATTCTATGAATATCAAGGTAGAAAATCCCACAATATCTGCTTTGAACTGGGTTATCTGAGTCCACACTGCCAGATATTTCAGTTCAAAGGAGATAATGTGGAGTTTCATTCACCTGTGTGGAAAGAGCCTGAGAGAAACGATGACATTGAAACAGTACTGAAGGAAGTGGATCAGGATTGAAAGTCTCCAATTGGGACAAGAGCAGTGTGATTAAGGTGCCTCCACATTCAACCCTGTCCCTTTTGTCCTTTCTTTTCTTTGCACAGTGGTTAGAAACGCGGCCAGACCGTCAGGAGTGTCCTGTGTGCAAAGCAGGCATCAGCCGTGACAAAGTCATCCCGCTTTATGGCCGTGGTAGCTCTACACAGGAGGATCCCAGGTAGACCTTTCCCATCCCATACCTGAATTCCCATTCTCTGTGTAATTCTAGTAGTCCTCTTAAGAGACTAGAGTAGCATTTTCTCCAAGCCATTTCCCCTTGCAATATTTTCAAAACCATTGGATAAAACACCAGGATCTCCAATCATAGCAGGGCTGCGAATTAAAAAATTACAGCCAGCCCTACACATTTGCTGATTTGACTTTGGCTGATCTGATCAATATGTTCTCTATAGGAATCTCTAGGTCAGAGCTTTCCAAACTCTGTGCCACAGCATGTTAGTGTATCAACTGCAGTGGGTAGGTGTGTCTGGAATTTATGTTGTTATCTTACAAATTATATATTTAAAAATATAGAAATGGAAAGTTTTCGTGAGATACATTGTGTTTTGTTATTACTATTCATGTGTGTGTCCAGATGTCTAATCAAGGGTTGGCGTAACCTCCAGCTTTCTAGTAAAATGGAGTGTCTGTGTCATGAAATGATGCATGTGTGTCACCACCAACATGAAATACTTGGAAAGCTGTGCTCTAAGAGAGGAGTGCCACCTAGTAACAAAGGATAGTATAGCAAGTATCAGACAGATCAACACTGAATTAATTAATTTGATGCCAGCCACAAATGCAGGCTAAACATCAGGAGGAAATGATGCCAGAACATGGCTATACAATCCAGAAACCACACAACACTCCAATTCATTCGCACTTAAAAAAAAAGAGTCCCTTTATATGTATGCCACATTTCAAATGTCTAGGTCCCATGGCCTTGGAGCTAATAGGGACACATTCACACACTATTACTGTTATGTATCTCAGCCTTTAAAAAAAAAAATCTCTTCTGAAGATGTGTCTCAGATTATTTTCTGTGTATGGCTACACAAGCCAACAAAATCAAACTTTTTGTAATAATAAAAAATGAGAGTAGCACAGTTTAAATCAATTTTTATGCTGATTTTAAATATGTCTTTATTTTTTCCCATCACGTCAACTTTTAAAAATGTGATGAATGGTGCATTACAGCGGATTACTGTAAAGTCTGCACATTTCACATCATATTCGTGTAACACAAGCCAACAAGTATTTTTCATCAAATATGATTTTAGGTCTTACAGAGTTTTTTTGTGCTGAATTCAGATCTGGGTTTATTTATTTTTTTCTCTGTCACATGTAGTTTTTGAGATAATTAATGTATATATGCACCGATATCAATAGAATCTAATTAACTACAAGCCAACAAGTATTTTTCATCAGATATGATATTAGGTCATTCTTATAGAGTTTTTTGCACTGAATTCAGATCCAAATTTATTTATTTTTCTATCATGTGTAGTTCTTGCGATGAGGGTGATCAAATAATTAATGCATTTACGCACTGATATTCATTAGATTGTGTTGATATCAGTGTGTAAATGCATTAATTATTTGATTAGCCTCATCACAAAAACTATCCGTGATAAAGAAAAAATAAACAGATCTGAATTCAGCACAAAAAAAACTATAAGAATGTCCTAAAATCATATCTAATGAAAAATACTAGTTGTTTTGTGATATGGGAACTGTGCCAGGGATTCAAATCAGCAAAAAATTCACTGTTCTATAGTGAAAGGGACACTTGACTCTTGTTAGGGAGCCAAGTAACTTCTTGTAGTGAAGTAGTGTCATCAAGAACAAAAACAACATGCAGACACAAAGCTGTTTGTTCCAACTGGAAGGCTTTTCTTTCTTAAGTTGCAGTAGTAGTACAAGTGTTAACACAGTATGTACAAACTCTCCTATCTTCATACAACAACCTCTAACCCTCATCAACTCAATACGGGGTTTTTATAAACTTATGGGCAACAGTCTCGGCACTCAGCTACCACGCCCCAATTACAGTGAACCTGTGGTTAATCCTGAAACATTGCTTCTGTTAGCACTTTAAGAAATGCAGAGTAACTAACAAATCCCGACAAACTGGACTGTTTAAAAAGCTGATAGAAAGCAAAACATTTGAAATGTGTTGGAGGAAAGGTCTATAGATACCATAGCCTGCTTAAAAAAATCAGAAAAATGGGTCCTAGAGCCAATCAAGCTTGAACCTTCCTTACAAGACTGTTGCACCCCAGGCCTGGAGACACCTATGACCATAGCACAACACAAGAGTCCAGAATATAAGCAAACGGCTTGTTGTAAATACACATAAAATATATGAAAAAGCAGGAATATAGAAAGACGGGGAATAATCCAAAAAGGTTTTTAGAAATATCTGATAACCACACAAGAATCCAAATCTCTCATAAAAATCCAAAGGTAACACTGTCCAGGAATAGCCAAAAATCACAACTACAGCATAAATCTATAAGCAAAATGTATACTTCGTAAAACTTGAGCAGGAATCATAAAACAAGAGTATAGAAAACTTTCAGGATACTTGAATCCAAAACCAAGACTTGATTTGACACAATGACCAGAGATTCAGGCCTAGTTTCCAGCTCGAAAGCCAATGTTGCCTGAACTAACTTTAAGGTAAACAACTGGCTGTTAATAAGCACTCATGAAATCATGTCATTTCCCATGAATTTTCTCTATATTTTCCCTACATGATCTTGTTGACCTATGGAGTTTGTTTTCTGCTCTGATCTGTAAACAAAGATTTTTTGTCGAAGGCTTTCATGGCTGGAATCACTAGGTTCTTGTGGGTTTTTTCGGGCTATAGAGCCATGTTCTAGAGGCATTTCTCCTGACGTTTCGCCTGCATCTATGGCAAGCATCCTCAGAGGTTGAGGAGGTCTGTTGGAAGTAGGAAAAATGGGTTTATATATCTGTGGAATGGCTGAGGTGGGGCAAGGAGCTCTTCCCTGCTGCAGCTAGGTGTGAATGTTTCAACTGATCACCTTCATTAGCATTTGAAGGCCTGCCTGAGCCTGGGAAAATCTCTTGCTGGGAGGTGTTAATCTGTGCCTGGTTTTTTCCTCTCTGTTGTTTGTGTTTATAATTTTAGAGTTTTTTAATACTGGTAGCCAGATTTTGTTCATTTTCATGGTCTCTTCCTTTCTGTTGAAATTGTCCACATGCTTGTGGATTTCAATGGCTTCTCTGTGTAGTCTGACATGGTGGTTGTTGGTGTGGTCCAGCATTTCTGTGTTCTCAAACAATATGCTGTGTCCAGGCTGGTTCATCAGGTGCTCTGCTATGGCTGACTTCTCTGGTTGAGTTAGTCTCCAGTGCCTTTCATGTTCCTTGATGCGTGTCTGGGCGCTGCGACCACCAAACGTTGGATCCCATAACTAATGATGTTATTTCTGGCTCCTCTGACTGACTTTGGAGCTCATCACTGTCTAACCAGTTTTGTTTCCCAAAACCCAAAAAATTAAACATCTAAGAATAAAAGAAACACAAAAGAAAATCATTTCAGAATGATATAGGACCCCTTCTCAATTGGCTCACATTATGAAAATCATTTCTAACAAACGCTGGCATAAATGCGGGGAGATTGGTACTTTTTCACACATGTGGTGGGACTGCCCTGAAATTCAAAAATACTATAATACTGTTAGAGAAGTAATAGAGGAAATAATAGGGCAAAAACTACATTGGAATAAAGCTCAATTTTTGTCCCTCAACATTGAGATAAAGGAGGGGAACAACGAATGGTCAGATATATTAAAATTTATGATAGCTGCTATGCACGCCACAATCGCCAGAGGTTGGAAAGATAAAACAAGGTGGGACCTGAAAACCTGGTGGTCATATCTCTCTGAATATTTAATTAATGATTTTATCCATGAAAAGAAAAATAAATATTTGAATATTCAGTCAAGACAATATTGGTTTAGGAAATGGTCTTGTTTAATCGATAAAACGGAAGGAAAAGATAGGTACAGAACTTTAAATCAGGCCTTCCAGACAATTAAATCAATGTATTGATTCAAGTAACCCAGATAGGGGGTGGCAAGGAGGTAGGAAGAGGGTGGTAAGGGTGGGTGGGTGGGGTGGGGGGTTTAAAGGGGTAATTAATTAAGATATACGGTAAAGGGAGTCACATCTGGAACCTGTATCCTAGCCATAAAGATTGTAAACAGTTTTTATGTTATCTTTTAGATGGCTAAGGTTCGTATTGTATTGTATTGTTTTGTTATCTGTATGAAGAAATTAATAAAAAACTTAAAAAATCATCTTAGTATTTGGTTGTTTACACAACAAAATGTGAAAAAAGTCTAAGGGTGGAATGGCTACTTTTCCAAAGCATGGTATGTTATGCAGTGTGTATGTATATACATACATACCTATTTTACTTTGCTCTCCTCACACAGGTTGAAAACACCTCCCAGACCACGAGGTCAGCGCCCAGAGCCTGAGTCTCGAGGGGTGAGTGCAACTGTGTCCCATTTCCAAAGCTTTTTTTGTTTTTAAAAAGCTCTGCAACTTTCAGAGTTCCTTAGCCAACATTCCCAGTGACTATATTAGCTGGAGAAATACTGCTGCCCATTTTCATCCTGACAGAAACTCTGCCTCTCAAAGCAGTGTGTTAATGTCTCCCTGTCTTTCCTCCCTGATCCTTCTTTTTCCTCCTGCCTCCTCCTCCATAGGGCATGGCTGGTTTCCCCGAAGCAGCAACTGGTTTCCACATGGCATTTGGCATCGGCGCATTTCCCTTTGGATTCTTTGCCACGGGATACAGTGCTCCAGGGGAAAGAGCAGGTAACCCGACCTCAGCTTGTAGTATAAGTCTGCCTGCAAAGGACTGTTCATGTTCCATCGCCCTCACTCTATTTCATTATGTTTTTAAAAATTGCCCTGGATATGTTCCTGGTTTCGTAAAGGTCCCAACATGGCCTTTCCTGCCTGACTGCAGTGTGGTGACTGTGAAATGCCATAAAATTTTCCACATTGTTTATGGCATGACTCAGATGAGACCCTCCACATTTGCTGGTTCAACTTCTGAAAATCTGATTATTTACGTTTTGAATATTATAATCTCTCTGGGAATCTCTGGGTCCTACAATATGAAACTATGGCCATTATATCCACCAAATTAGATCCACCCCATCTCTACTTACCTTCAGGAAAAAACTGAAATTATGGCTCTGGGATCAGCCTTTTGGCCAATAATGGGAGTAGTGCAATATGAGACTACAAATTAACATAATGACAACTTAGACCGGCCCTGAAATACAATTTGGATCATGTGATTTCAATTTATGTTTTAAAGCTATGTTTTAATGAGTTTGGCTTTAACGTTTTTTGTTTATTTATCACTGTATTAATATATGGCATTGAATTGTTGCCTTTGTAAGGCCACCCGGAGTCCCTTTCGGGGTTGACAAGGGTGGGACAACATATCACTCATGGAACATGTGAATTCCTTGTGTGTCACCCTGCATTGCTCCATCTTGGCTGCAGTGTATGGTAAAAGTTGACCTGGAGGGACACCAGCCCTTTCCTTCTAATCCCGAGCATCTCTCCACCTTTCTCTTTGTTTATTTTGTTGTGCAGATGTCGATGCCGCCAGGCCATCAAGCTGGCAGGATTCGCTCTTCCTCTTCATTGCCATCTTCTTCTTCTTTTGGCTGCTCAGTGTCTGACTGGCTGGACCCCCACTGGATTCGCCCTAAATACTAAAGACTATCAGAACTGGATAGACGATCTGTGATATTATGGGGTGGGGTGGGGTTGGGGCAGTTGTCGGGTGGAGGGTGGCGTTGCTTGCAAACTGCACAAGACTAGGCGGGAGATAGGGAAGGGTTAAAACTGAGCAGCGGGATATAAGTCGGGCATGGCAAATCTCCCTCTACCCTTTTCCTTAATCTCCCTGCAACACAGAATTAAACTTGTAATAGGGCTACTTTGTGGGTGACTGTGCAAACAAGGGTGGTTGCCACGTTCCTCCGTTGTAATGCTGTGGGTAATTCTCTGGAAGGGAGAGCAAGAACATCCAAATGATCATGGGGCCGAATTATTTCTGCCTCTCTTCTGAGATAAATATTTCTGAAGCTTGAAGAGGCTCAGTGATTAAAAATATACCTATATTGACATTTCAAAGAGTGTAGCTATTGGCTTGATGGTACAAATGCAGCCAACTGGGCCACCAAGCTGTGTTCTGGTGCTTGTCTTCTTATCCCTTGGAAGAGAGGTAGAAAATGCTGGAGGAAAGTGTGTGGCCATGGTTTCCTATTGCTTCTAGGTTGCTGGGAGAAAATGTGGGTGCAAGGGGGTGGGAGGAATGCAGAGAAGCTAATTCCCTCTTCCAGTTTTCCTCTCCACAGTTGAAGCCATGTTTTCACCACCATCATTTATTGCTGACTGCAAGCATCGGCCTATTTGCTCCGAACAAACCTCGCAGGGAGGTGGGCCACAGCCCTACTTATGGGATACTCGGTGCACATAAAGTGGTCCGTGGGATGAATGGAATTTATGGGCAGAAGGTATTCTCCTCTTTCACCCTTCAAAGAAGAAGAAAGGGAGGCACCTCACTCATCTCTCTTGCCACATCAAGTCTTGTGACAGAGGTAGAAAATTAAAGTAAAGTCAGGAGGAGAGAAGTGGTGGGGTGTTGTTGGAGCATGGCTTGTTACCGCAGTGTCCACGTTCAGTGTGGCTCCATGATCAACAACCAGAGAGGACTGGGAATAGGGTTGTTGTTGGAGCATGGCTTGTCATGACAATGTCCACATTCAGTATGGCTCCATTGTCAACAACTAGGGAGGACTGGGTTTACGGTTGCTTTTGGAGCCTGCTTATCACCACAATGTCCATGTTCAGTATGGCTCCATGGTCAGCAATCAGAGAAGACTGGGGTTAGGGTTGTTGTTGGGGCATGACTTTTCACCACAATGTCCATGTTCAATATGGCTCCATTGTCAACAACCAGAGAGGAGTAGGGTTAGGGTTGTTGTTGGAGCATGGCTTGTCACCACAGTGTCAGTGTTCATTTTGGCTCCATGGTCAACAACCAGAGAGGACTGGGTTTACGGTTGTTTTTGGAGCATGCTTATCACCACAATGTCCATGTTCAGTATGGCTCCATCGTCAACAACCAGAGAAGTCTGGGTTTACGGTTGTTTTTGGAGCATGACTTGTCACCACAATGTCCATGTTCAGTATGGCTCCATGGCCAACAACCAGAGAGGACTGTGGTTACGGTTGTTGTTGCAGCATGCTTATAACCACAATGTCCATGTTCAGTATGGCTCCATGATCAACAACCGAAGAGGACTGGGGTTAGAGTTGTTGTTGGAGCATGACTTGTCACCACAATGTGCATGCTCAGTATGGCTCCATGGCCAACAACCAAAGAAGACTGGGTTTATGGTTGTTTTTGGAGCATGCTTATAACCACAATGTCCATGTTCAATATGGCTCCATGATCAACAGTAGGAGAGGACTGGAGTTAGGTTTGTTGTTGGAGCATGGGTTGTCACCACAATGTCCATGTTCAGTATGGCTCCATGGTCAACAACCGAAGAGGACTAGGGTTAGAGTTGTTGCTGGAGCACGGCTTGTCATCACAATGTCCACATTCAGTTGGGCTCCATGGTCACCAACCAGAGAGAACTGAGATTGGGGTAGCTCGACTATGAGGCCTCAGATGACCACAAGGGAGTCCTTCATAATGCTTCCCAAAAAAATGGATGTAAATACTCCGCTACCTTTGTGAATGCAGAGGAAGGCATGGGGAGTTGATACTCCAGGGTTGGTCAAAGCCTGGTTTTCAAGGTATTGTTGGACTGCAACTCCCATTTGCTTAAGCCAGCATAGCCAATGATCGGAATGCTGACAACTGAGGTCCAACTTCTGGAAAGCCATACTTGACCACCCTTTGATTGATAGTTTTTGTTTTTTTAACTATTCTGTCAATGTGGGGAGAGGAATATAAAGTCATTTGCCAAGGTACGGAGAGTAATTCCGGGATCTTGGCTATATTTCAGTCTTCCTTTACCACCATTTCCAGTTGGCTAAGGTGTTGACAGCAGTTCGGCCTGGAAGTGACGTAATTGTCGGGATTGCGGGAATATCCTTCTCCTGGATAACAGTATTTTGTGGCCCAGAAATCTCTGTGAAAAGGCTTTTCTCTCCCCATTGGGGGTGACAAAGGAGAAAAGTGGTGCAAATTAACCAATGCTGTAATTAAATTAACCCATGATTCGTAACCATTTCAAGTGTTGTGGCATCTTTCAAAGTGAGCTGTTCACAAGTAGATGTGTGTAAATGCTGAGTGCATGTAAGTGTGGCTGTGTACAGGGCTGTGGGGTTAGCACACCAAAACTTACTCAAACCAGGCATTTAATCATGGGCATGTGAAATGTTGCTTTATGTAGAAGGATAGAACACATAATTTATTTGATCAGTTTCTGAAAAGGAAGACTTTCTTAAATGCCTATGAGGCAGTCAGTCCTAGGTTTGACTTTTGCGAATCTGATTAAATGTTCCCTCGAAGAAATCTCTAGGTCATCCAGTAACTCTGTGATGTGATTCTGCTGGAAGTTGCCTATAGAGTTGTACTAAAGGGCCTATAAATTCCTAGATACATGTTCTCTGAAGTCAAACAAATACGTGTTTTTTCTCACATTCATTCTCATTCATGCATTCATTCCCACATTCACAGGGGCTCATGTGCAGCTAATGCCAGCCAATGTAGAGTCGATTGTATGCAATGAACTAGGCATTTAATGTTATAATTTTTTGTTTTGAAGCTGGAGTCAGAGTCAGTGTCAACTCTGACTTCAGAGCCCTGATTGTATGGGGGAAAGTTGTTGTTTATTTGTTCAGTTGCTTCCAACTCTTCATGACTTCATGGACCAACCCACGTCAGAGGCCCTTCAAGGTCAAGTTAGTCACTTCAGGGATGCCATCCATCCATCTTGCCCTTGGTCAGCCCCTCTTCCTTTTTCCTTCTTTTTCCCCCAGCATCATTGTCTTCTCTAAGCTTTCCTGTCTTCTCATTATTTTCCTCCAACACCACGGTTCAAAACCATCTCTCTTCACTCAGCCTTCCTTATGGTCCAGTTACTACGGGGAATACCATTGCTTTAACTGTGCAGATCTTCGTTGCCAGTCTGATGTCTCTACTCTTCACTATTTTATCGAGACTGGACATTGTTCTCCTCCCAAGCAGTAAACATCTTCTTATTTCCTGGCTGCAGTCTCCACCTGCAGTCATCTTGGCGCCTCGAAATACAAAGTCTGTCACTGCCTCCACGTTTTCTCACTCTATTTGCCAGTTATCAATCAGTCTGCTTGCCATAATCTTGTTTTTTTTAATGTTTAACTGCCAGCCAGCTTTTGCACTTTCTTTTTTCATCTTTGTTAGAAGGCTCCTCAGCTCCTCCTCACTTTCGGCCATCGAAGTGGTAGGTAGTTTAGGCAAAATAGTCCAAGAGAAGAGAATGGAAGGATTTGAATAGGAAAGCACCTGATAAGTAGAGGTTATACGTATGTCTTTCTCATCATTATTAGATTTAAATGTTGTCCTTCCCTCTGGGGAACTGAGTCGTCCAAGCATTCCTAAGTTAGATGGGGCTTACCTTGACTGTAGTATATAACACCTCTTCACAATTCTTCTTGTATTACAGGAGCCAGTTTAGGGAGCTGTAGAATTTATTATAGGAACAATCCAGTCAGTTAAGTTGCCTCCACCCTTTTGCATGGCAATTTCAAGCCGAAAAAAAGTATCATGAACAAGGACAAAATGTGTGTGTCATAGTTGCCAGAGTTGGAGGGTCAAAAGTGGGTTAGAGTAAGGGTTCAAAAAGCTTTAAATCATACAATCTTAGGGTACATCTACACTGTAGAATAAATGCAGTTTGACACCACTTTAACTGCCATGGCCGAATGTGATGAAATCATGAGAGTGGATGTGGCTCTTAATGACACATGCCGCATTATCACGGGGTCACTGGAGAAATTACACTGCTTAGCCGGTATTGCACCACCTGACATCTGCCGGGAAGTAGCAGCCAATAGTGAAAGGACCAAGGCAGAGACATCTCCAGCTCATCCCCTGTTTGGGTATCAGCCAGCACGTCAACGACTTAAATCTAGAAATAGTTTTCTAAGATCTACAGAGACACTCGCTGGAATGCCTCAGCAAGCGAGAGTCCAAAAGTGGCAGGCTCAAACCCAGAACCTCAATCAATGGCTGATACCAAATGAGAGACTCCCCCTTGGGCACACAGAAAACTGGGCGACTTGGAAGGCGCTGAACAGACTGCGCTCTGGCACCACGAGATGCAGAGCCAACCTTCAAGAAATGGGGCTACAAAGTGGAATCCATGACATGCGAGTGTGGAGAAGAGCAAACCACTGACCACCTGATGCAATGCAACCTGAGCCCTGCCACATGCACAATGGAGGACCTTCTTGCGGCAACACCAGAGGCACTCCAAGTGGCCAGATACTGGTCAAAGGACATTTAACCAACTACCAAACTCACAAGCTTTGTATTTTGTCTGTTTGTTTGCTTTGTTCTGTTAGAAATGTAATATAATGGATTGGTCGCTCTGACACGACAAATAAATAAATGAGAGTTGTAGTTTGGTAAGCTATCAGCAGTCTTTGGTGGAAAAGGCTAAAGATCTTGCCAGCAACTAAAACTCACAGGACTCTATAGTTTTGAGTCATAACAGTTAAAGTGGTGTCAAACTGTATTAATTTACACTCTTTGAGTTGGAAAGGGCCATGAAGGCTATCTAATCAAAGTTCCTGTCATGCAGAAATAAACAACTTCGGAAGCAGTTTATTCTTCTTTTGAAAATTACTTACAGTAAATTTTTTCCTAATGTTTAGGTGGAATCTCTTTACTTGTAATTTGAATCCCTTTGATGGTATTTGGGACACAAAAAGGGGATATGTACTAATGAGAGTCTACAGAAGTTTACTATTTCCCATTAAATGAATGTTTTTGTTCTAAATGTTAGAATTATGGAAGTTGCAGATATCTCATGCATATCATCCCAATTTGAGGTGGCTCAGTTTGTTTGAATGAATGATACCTTGGTGTATGTAGCAGACCTGGATGCAAAATATTTTTTTACACATAGCAACCTTTTGATGCTATCTGAACGCTGCCATGAATCACTTTACCTATTTAAATACTTAAACAAATAGCATTGAACTATCTTGTAACAACATTATCTTTCCTATGTGTACACTACAGTAAATATATATTAACCTGAGCACACATTCTCAAAAGATCATGACAGTTTTATAAACACGGAAATATTTCAGTCGTATGTCATCCTGTAATTCTCTGCTCATTCCAGAATATCTTAAAGCCACCAGATCTTGATTGATTTTGAAGGCTAAGCAGGGCTGGTTAGTATTGGGAAAGGAGACAGCAGACAAATACCAGATTCTGTATTTTAACCAAGGATTAAATTTTGAAGTGCCAATCTTCAGCATAAGAGTCCTTTTAATTATCTTCTATAGGCAATTCCAGAAAGGTATGCAACTATGGTGCTCTACTGTTTAAGAATATCTATATATAGTAATATTTCTTCCGCCTACCATTTTCAGCAATTGAACTGAGATGAGGAGAATGAGAAAATGAGAGGAAGGAAAAGAGAAAAGTGAAGAGAGGGAAAGGAGGCATGTACCATAAAAGCACCAGATCCTGTTTTATCCTTGAAGCTAAGCAGGGATGACCCTGGGAGGCCACCAACCGATTTCAGAAGAAGGAAATGGCAAAAAAATTCTTTGATAAGAAAGGTTGACAGTTCAAAGCCCTGGTCAGGGTGAGCTCCTAGCCTTTAGCCCAGCTTATGCTTACCTAGCACCTCGAAAGCAAAATGTGAGTAGATGAATAGGTACCATTTTAAAAGTGAGGAGATTCTTAAAGCACCCATAAGGAAATGTCATAAAAATGCTGGTAATTCAATCAAGGAGGAAGTTTATGAACAAAGCTCTTCGGCAGGGAAGATGGAGTGACATCACCCCCCATGGCCGGAACCAAGAACAAGCCTCCAAGATGCCAAAGACGGGAAAGCCTATATATACCTCTCTCTATGTACAGTTGCCTGTCCTGTCAGTGTATAACAGCATTGAATGTTTGCTGTGCATGTGTTCTGTGATCTGCCCTGAGTCCCCTTCGGGATGACATGGGCGGAATATAAATACTGTAAATAAATAAGAAAGCCCTATGAAATTTGTGAGGTCGCATCCACTCATAATTTCCTCTCTGACAAAGTATGCTAAAGACTTATTTGGAAGCAATAACTATGAAACTATACTGTGATGGACATGAACCATGTCCATCACATATACACACCAGGGAAATGCCTTGAGGGGACATCTTGCCAAACATCAGTGAGTCCTCTAGCACAACTCAATGGTCGCCATCCCATGGAAACATACCATAGATGTAAGACCTAGAGAGAACCCAGAGAGGCATATTTTGTTAGACTCTAGGAAAGGAAATCACAGATACCGGTCCTGCACATATAGGGGTCATACTGTACTCTCAACAAAATCGTAGTAGCCTTGCAATTCTGAATATCCTTTTAAGGAGGAATACATGGCAATGTAGAGTTAAGGCTCTCTGAAATAATTGCTCAGTTTCTTGAAGTGCCACCAAGCAACAATGAATGTGACATTTGAAATAATCCTACATAATCTCTTCCTGCTCAGATTATTATTTCCGTACCTAGAGCATGCATCTATACATATCTCCAGCTTGCCTAAGCTACCAGGTGAATCATGCGTTATTTATTTCCAGTGAGCAAGAGGAAGGACCTAGGGACATTATTCTTCAAATTAAAAGTTTGAATTCTGTGTTGACCCTTTCTCTATTTTCAACCCTCCTTTCCTTCAACTTCTCTAGAATATTTCACAAGCACTGTGCACTTCTTGAACATTGGGATAACCACATCTAGTTGGGCACAGAGTTTCAAATTATTCCTGCTAGATGCCTCTCCCAGCACACAAACAACCCCTGTTCACTGGCAACATGGTGACCCTGCAACATAAAGCCTAATGAGATATTCTCCATTTTCAGAATGCCTTTTTTGTTTCTGGCTCAAAATAGAACTTGATAACTCATTAAACATACAGTGTTCCCTTGCTCCTTTGCGGTTCACTTAACGCCGACTCTCTGTTTCACGGTTTTCCCTGTGTGATCCTCCTCCTTGCTTCCTTCCCTCTCACTTTGCTTTTT